AATGTTATGAATGATTGAAACGTAATCGTTTTTTGAGTTTTGCCTCGGAGATACCCAACCAAGGTCACCAAGACGATTAAAATCGATGATTTGATGAAAAAAATGGCCCCATCTTCGATGATGTTTCTAGCTCACAAACAAGGTAAATCAAGCTAAACAAGCCAAAATATGATCAATTTTGTTATAATTTGGTGATTTATTGGCTTATTTTCACGAAAAAACTGAGTTTTTGGCTTAAAAACATGCTTAAATGTTTAAAAAAGGCAAAAATAACCATTTTTTGGCTTGTTTTAGCGAAATTTCTGTGGAAATGTGCACATTGATATTTTTTTTCATTTAAACCACTCATATTTTAAACAAATATTCTATTTTTGCTTTTATTAAAAAAATGCGTCAATTTTGACATATTTTTCGGTTTGTTTTCACAAAAAAAACTGTTTTTTTTTTGCTCAAAAACATACGAAGAAAGCAAAAATACGACCATTTTCGACCTAATTTAGTGATTTTTCGGCTTGTTAGAGCAAAATTTCGAGAAAAAAAGATTGGTTTTTACAAAATCCTTTGATTTTTGGTCTGTTTTGATAAAATCTTGAGAAATATGTAAGTTTCTAGCTGAAAAATGATATAAATCTAAGAAAAGTGACAAAAATAAATTCATTTCCATTTAGTTTGGCAATTTTTCAACTTGTTTAAAACTAATTTCCCGAAGAAAGTGCGTTTTTGACTGAAAAGTGTGTTAAAACTATCGAAAAAGGCAAAAATAATGTCATTCATGGAATAAGTCATTGATTTTGCTGAAATCTTGTAAAAAAATATCAGTTTTTCCTATATACAGGATATTTTACATCGAAAAATAACACTAATGTGTCAAAAAACGATAGTTCTAATATACAGGGTGATATTAAAATCCAATAGTTCCTTTGAAACCACTGGATATTTTAATTTTTTATTAGTTTTATTTTTTAATGTAGAATATGTGGTTGCAATTTTTCGCAATATGAAGAAAACACACTGTGTATTTTCATAATAACTCAAAAAAATAAGAACGCTATTATAACAAAATTATGACATTTTATTTTGTTCAAAAAATTATTTCATATTTTTCATAAAAAGTGATTTTTTTATAATATTAAGAATTTTTTTCAAAATATGTCAGAATGATTCTGCTTTCGATTTTAACAGAACTTAATTAAGATTAAGTAAATAAAATGAAATTTAAAAAACTAAATTTGTCTATTAATTATGGTTTGACGAAATTAGTAAAAATGGCTTATTAATTACATTCTTTGATTATCTATAGTCTTAAACAAACGTATTTTCTTCTGCTTTTTAAAAAATTAAAGTTCATTATTTTTTAGAACATATAATACAACTTGGTTAATTTTGAGACTCTAGGGGAGTTTCTAGTCACCACAATTGGGTCAAATGTCACTAAAATGTTACTAAATACCCAATAAAGCTCCCAGAAAAGTTTCATTAAAATATCTCAAGGCTTTCTTGATTTAAACGAGGTGTTAAGTGTTAAAAGCACTTTTAGTCAATTTTGAGATATTCAAAGAGCTGTAGAAAAGCTTCTAGCCGACAGAAATTATTCAAATTTGGCTCAAATCTTCTCAAATAGTTGATAAACCCGTCGAAAAAATTTCATCACAATATTCCAAAGCCTACTTGATTTATTTAACACAGTGCTAAGTGCTAGACTTTTTGGGTGATTTGGTGGATGCAATTTTTTGCAATATAAAGAAAACACTCTGTATATTTTTATAATAACTCAAAAAAATAGAAACGCTATTATAGCATTTTATTTTGTTAAAAAATTGTGAGCATTCGTTTTTTGAAAAAATTTTTTTTAGGGAATTTTAGAGAATTGTAAAAAATTGCTAGTGTTTTAGTTTGATTTAAGAGGAGACAAAAATATTGATAATATTTTAATTGTTTGGCTAAAAACTTAACACAAATCAAATTTGAAGGGTTTTTAATAATGTTTTTATTCGACTCAAAATTGGTTTTAGAATGACTAAGAAAATGAATGAGAAAAAAGTTGGCAMGTGAAAATATCCAATGAATGTATTTTTTAAACGTCAAAAAATTTATAGAAATGTCAAAATCGACAAAAAATTGGCCAAAACGCGAATTCAAAAGGCTTTTTAGTCTATTTTAGCAATTCGAAATTAATTCTAGAGTAAAACTTGAACGATTTCTCGGATTGTTTGCCTAAAAATATTGGATCACATTGACACGTGAAAGTATCCAATGAATGTATTTTTCAAACGTCAAAGAAATTAGCCAAATGTCAAAATCGCCAAAAAWAGTCCCTTACTCAAACTGTGATCACTTTTCGTCAATTATCACATTGCGCAATCAATCTTTGAGTGTTTTTTGTTCATTACAAACAATAACAATGTTATGAATGATTGAAACGTAATCGTTTTTTGAGTTTTGCCTCGGAGATACCCAACCAAGGTCACCAAGACGATTAAAATCGATGATTTGATCATTGGCCCCACCTTCGATGATGTCTCCTTCCCTGAGAGTGATATGTCCGTCTTCCAGTGTGGTATAGGCCTCAACACAGACAACCATAGTCCCCGGAGTGGCCAAATAGGTGGTATCGGAGTTGGCGGTCCCAACTCCGGAACTGTCACTGATGATATCGCTCGTATCACCCAGACTCTTATCTGCAACACCCAGTGCAAGCACTGAGTCACATCAAATCATTTACAAAACGTGCAATTGTAATAATGAATGCATCGAATGGGGGTGCACATTGAGGCAGGCATGCAAGTTTTGAACAGACTTGTGTATAAGTAAATACCTGTGACGATGCTGGCAGTGTCAGTTTCGTGGCCTGGGGGCGCACTGCTGCTATCGCTTAGACTGGAACTGGCCGAACTGAAAGGGGCCGAGGAGCGGTCGCTGGGACAGGGACTTGGAGGTAGGGCTAAAGTGGTCATGGATGGGGCGCGGTTCAGCCATCCTAGAGCAGACCTACGCTTCGGATTATAGCTGGGTGGGCCGCGGTACGGGACTGAAATTCGGTTTTTAAAAAAACAACGCTAAATTGCTAGAAAGTGCGAAAAATAATCGATAAGACATCGATCACATGGTTGCATTTCACACACATAAAAAAGAGAAATTAAATTACTAAATTACCTCGGGTTGTTTTTTTTTTTTTTTTTTTTTTTGCTGGTCGTGGGATTGGAAACCGAACAAAAACCACTGGGGATTTTAACGGTTGAACCTTCTGGGAAACTACTCGACAGGCAAAAAATAAATTCGGGGAAAATCGGGTCAAAATACATAAAATGTCAAATTTTGTAATTTTTCCATTTTTTTCGAAATTCGAAAAAAATTCAAAAAATTTATAAAAATGTCAAAATCGACAAAAAATTGAACAAAACTCGAAATTTAAAGGTTTTTTAGTCTAGTTTTGCGATTTTTTAAGCGTCAAAAAAATTATACAAGTGTCAATTTTTTTAACACAAATCAAATTTTAAAGGTTTTTAACCTGYTTTTGCGACTTACATAATTTTAACGATTTGTCGGATAATTTGTCTAAAAATATTGAACTAAGATCATGAAATAAAGAAAAAAATTGGCAAGTGAAAGTATCCAATGAATGTATTTTTAAAACGTCAAAAAAATTATAAAAATGCCAAATCGACAAAAAATTCGACAAAACTCGAATTTTAAAGGTTTTTTTAGTATGTTTTTGCGATTCTCGATTGATTCTAAAGTGAAAATTTCACGATTTCTCGGATAATTTG